AGATAGCCAAAGTCAGGAGCCCAGAACCCCTGCCTGAGTGTCAGGGGTTTCTGGGGGAAAGGGGAGAGAAAGATGTGAAAAGTTGAGACAGCGAAGGGAAAGAAACTTCCTCTCTCTCTCCCTACCCCCCCTCTCCTCTCTACAATTTCCTCTTCCCTACCCCCTGAGAAAGGGCTAACACATGCCACCAAGCCTCGTTTGTAACGAAAATTAAAGGGCAAAGGGCAATTAAAGATTAAGCTCAGCCCCGTGGGTTTTATAGGGCTCTTTCGTTTCATCGTCGTCAGTTTTTAATAAAGTGTATACTTATTATAATGAGTTTGTGATCATTTTGTTTCCTGTTTCTTAGTCTCCGCCTTAATTAGTTAAAGACTTTCTGTAATTTGATATTCTTTGCATCCTGCTGAAAAGGTTCGAGACCGGTCGACTATTTTTAAACAATTATCTGGAGCGCATTTGAAACGATCATATATGGACCTTGATGACGATTAGACGAATATCTTTTTTTGGTAACGTCACGGAGCCCGCATCTACGTCATTCGCTGGCTATGAAACCTCATCTATTTTCTGGTTTGAATATTGGACAGTTACTGTAACACTTTAACCAGACTATTGTCCTACTTGCTAAACTGAAACCAGCCGAGGATGTATTTTTACCCAAAGAAGGAAATGATTGAATCTTACTATCAATATCACTATTAGTTTAGGATATATAATTGCCTTCACACTATAGGTGTCTTTAGGGTTGTATAGTTATTGAGGTGAAGGTGACTCAGCTAAAGGTGCAAAAGGCGGAACATGTACTGGGTTGTCGTTCTTTTCTTGGCTAGAACTGTGTATAGCAATTCGCATAATCCTGATGGTAAGGTCTTCTTCTACTTAATGAAACAAACGCCTACCAGAAAAAGGAAATGTTAAGATTGTAAGGGCAGCTTCCCAAATCTACCATGACCTAATTAAAATATTCAATTGCTGGCTTTAAACAAATTAATGTAGTCCCCTCAAAGTTGTTTTTTGATAGACCCAATTGCAAACAGCTGAGTTATATCATTTTTAGGGTTCTAAGGCTTCTGCGACCAAACTCGGAAATAGTTTGCTTTCGCATCTTTTTTCTCCAGCCTTTTAAATTTTCATGAAAGAGCTTGCAGCTAGCTTGCGGTATACTAAACAAAATGCAGTTTAAAGCACCATTCCCTTGCATTCTTTATGTAACTCGAGTTTGTTCTAAAGGGCTGTTTTAGTGAGTTACTGACAATTTAATTCATTGAATATTATTTCGTGTTCGTCTCACGAAAATCTGGATTTAGAGAAAAATACCTATTTTTTTCCTAGAACTTGAATTAAACATGATTGTTAGTTTATTGACGGTGAATCATTTTAAAACTTAATACACATTACAAATAGCTGAAATTTAGCAATGTATTTAGATTTCCTTTTAAAGAAGTTCTGAGTGCACCGGAGAAAATACTTCCTTGATCAGTTCGGTGTCAAAAGTATTAGTCACCTAGTCAGAGGTTCAAGTACTCTCCTGGCTTAACAGATCAGAATGCAAAATTAACGCCTGCGAAAGAATCATTTACTTTTCAATTCTATATTTAATTCATTTTTTAAGTTATAAAATGTTAATAACGCCCGTTCCCTTTTAATTTGTAATTAACAACTATTAGAGGAAGCTGCCCTTACCAAACCATATGTATTTTGAAACTGATTTTAAAGTATTTAAAATGTATTTTCAGTATTTGAACACTATTTTCCTGTATTTTAATCCTATTTGACAAAAAATTTAAATTTTCGCCCCTGTTTGAAATATATCTTGAGTGTAGTTAAATTGTATTACATCTAAAGGAAAACCTCTCTAATCAATTTGCAATGTATTTTGTTTAATAAATATGATTAAAATACGGTATTTAAAATGTATTTTGGGCATAGAACCACTAACACGGTTACAAACAGAGTTCGAATAGACTATTTGAAATATGTTTTAAGGGCTTTTATGCTGACTGTAATTTAATTACCTTTAAATAGGGTACTTTAACTCTGTTTTGAGTTGTATCTAAAATGTATTTTGAGACGCATCCACTCACAAAGTTACAAGCGTAGTTCAAATAGACTATTTGAAATATGTTTTAAGAGCCTAAATGCTGACCGTATTTTACATCCTTTTAAATAGGGTACTTTAACACTGTTTTGAGTTGTATCTAAAATGTATTTTGAGACGCATCCCCTTACAAAGTTACAAACAGAGTTCAAATAGACTATTGGAAATATGTTTTAAAACCTTAAGAACTGACTGCATTTTAAATACTTTTAAATAGGGTACTTAAACACTGTTTTGAGGTCTATTTGAATTGTATTTTGGGCACACAACACTCTGACTATAAAAAACAGATTATCCATAAACTATTTGAAGTCTGCTTAAAGACATCAAATGCTGACCTTATTTTAAATACTTCAAAGTAGGGTACTTATAGCTTATTATTACTGAGGTGCAATATTGTAATGTCTTTTGGGATACTTATACTTAGACTATAAAAGTAACAATTGCACAAAGTTAATTTTTAAGCCTTCATCGTGTCACGAACTCATAAATAACTCAAAACAAGCTGTCACATATTGTGGACCGGATTCTCCTCTCAACAAAGTTCGAAGCTGAGGGAAAAATTAAATCTAAATTAAATAAAGAAAAGAGAAGAAAATTAGGAATAGATTTTAGCTTTGACTGACAACACGTAACTGTGACAGTGTGCCGATAAAAGATCAATCCGTTCCTCAATGTTCATTACCTGCAAGCTCTCTGCGAAAATCTCCGCATAGATTTTAGCCGTGATTCAATTAATGCAGTTACGGGACATTCCATAAGTTTTTTAAAAGAAACTTCTTAAAATCGCATTTTAATTTCATATAGAATTTTTTCTCAAACAGCCGAAGCCGCGGGCCGAGAACCGGATGCACGCGGTCAACAGAGGTTTATCTAAAATAAGCCCTTGAAATTACATAACAAATAAATTATCCAAGCTAAGATCTCACCTCGTATATATTGCATCAAGAAAGAAAGCTCAGATCTGAATAAACTCCGACATATGGTTATCTTTTTCTCATAGATTATTCCGCACATGCATGGCATATTATTTCTAAGATGTCACGCGCGACTGAAATCAGGACTTCGCGCCGCGGTGATGTGACAAATGCACGTGATAAACAAACCGTCCTTTGTCCTTTGCTCATTTCAAATTATTGAACCGGCGGTTTCTGTGATTGCGGGTGCGCTTGATTTTACTGTTTGTTACGATCTTACAAAAGTACATTTCAACTCTGCGGATTGTCTGAACACGTAGATGTTGCATTTATCACGAATCAAAAATGGGTATGACTCCTCAGCGACTACTATGTACTTTGAAAGCTTCTGGTGCTGTCTTGTGTGTTAATCCATGAGTCTTCTTATGTGAGTATTATATACATTCCCTCTATATGCGTAACATGTTACTAAGACGCTTAAGTATACGCCATATGAGAAGCAAATGAAGGGTAGTAAACATTTATATACTCCCGCCTGTACGGCAATTCTAGTTTTTACAGGGTTCCATGCTCAGCCTCGCTGTTCTCAGTCACTTGATGTCACGTCACCGACCGCTTTCATGCTCGCGTAAATTTGATGGTGTTATTCTTATGATGTTCTTTATCAGCCAATAATTAATGTTCAGGCGTAGCCTGCAAGCTTCTGATAATATTTGAGTAAAGCCGTGAATATAATAAACAATGTAAGTTACATGTATGTAGATTATTATTTACCGGTAACGTCAGTAACGCAATACCCGATTGATAGCCTGTGTACAGACCCCCCTCCCCTACGATTTTTATTGAGGGAAGGGGGTCTGTACACAGGCTAAAGATTGATTTCAGCATTTCTGAAAAATTCCATAAGAATTTCCCGAGAATTCGTAGGGAAATCAACATAAAGTAATCGACTAAGAGATAATTCTCGTGAAATCCTAGCATAGGACTGTGTGGAGAAATTTCGCAGAGGTTCATTTTGCTTTTTAATAATAATAATAATAATAATAATAATAATAATAATAATAATAATAATAATAACATGTTTAAACAGGATGACCATTTCAGTTATAAAAACTGCTATCAATATGGGTCCTTTTTCAGGGTAATTTTCGATGGTTTTGTATTCATTTTATTTCATGAATTTAAATGGTATTTCCATCCTGTTTTTGGATTGTTTTTATGCTCTTTCTACCGATTTTTGTACTGTTTTCAGACAACTCTAAGGCTACTTTCTTACAATTTTTATACTGTTTTTGCACTTTTGCATCCTATTTTTGATGTATTTTCACAATATATGCGTGCTATTGCTTTTCTTCTTCTGTGGTATTTTAATACTATTTTCAAAGTATTTTTATTGTATCTGCAAATACGAGTATTTTACTAAATTTCGAAACTGATTAAACAGCTATTAAAATATATTTTGAAGCATAACATTTTAATAGCGTTTTAAACAGGTTAAAACACCTTTAAAATCAGTCGAAAAATATATTAAAAATATATTTTTGGACCTATTTTAAACCTGTTTTTTTCAAAATACGTTTAAAATTGCCATTAAAAATAAAAATATGTTTCTGAAACTGTTTTTATCCTGTTTTTGTTCCGATTTATAAGGTATTTAAAAACTGTTTTAGACCTGTTTTGAGCCTTGCAAAAGCCCTGTAATTTTTTATATATTTTAAACGAATTTAAAAATACTTTAAAAATTCTTTTTTAATAGCGTTTTAAACAGGTTAAAACACCTTTAAAAGCAGTCGAAAAATACATTTAAAATACACTTTTCACCCTATTTAAAATCTATTTCACAAAACAGGTTAAAAACAGTTGTCAAAAATAGCTTAAAAATACATTCAAAACAGTGTTGGATTTGGTAAGGGTGGCTATGATTTTAGGAATTACGCGGGTCTGGGCGGTCTGTTAAAGAAATCTGAGTAGAACGCACATAAACTTGAAGTATTCTACAAAGTTGCCTTCTTACTGCATTCGTATTTTATTTAACTAGAAAAAAAAAGCGACACAATTCGAGAGCCTCTTTTGTAGTAATGTCAGTACTTTGCGTAAGATAAAAATAAACTGGATCCCTGAGATATGGAATGTAATTATCTCAGATACATTCTTGGTATTGGGAAATTGATAAGTCAGAACTGTCTTTTAATAATTATGTTTCCACGTTTTGACCTAAATGTGCCGTCTTCTTCGAACGTTTGTTTGTTTTGGTAGAAAATCGAGGCATTTATGATCCAAACCTCTTTGAGGGAGACATGATTCTTTCACCAAAGCAGCGATACAACGCAGAACATGGACGGGATGTTTTTGGCTCAGACCGCAAAAGAGGTGCAAGCAAGTTCCCTCTGTGGCCATATGGGGTACTTGTCTATACAATCGATTCCTCTCTTGGTGAGTAGATGGTGAAACCCATGTCAAATGCTGGTTGGTATTTTGAGTTAAAGGGACTGGTTCACGATAATGCGCATGCGCGCCGTTTGTCTCTTCAGAATAAATTTGTTGGGTCAACACTAAATTCGAAATCGCCATTACCGGTACGATCATTGAAAATCCTTCGTTTTATTCGGACATCCGTCGCTTTGGCTGGTCTAGTTATACTTCGGTAGTGGTGATTAACGTGTGGTTGTGTCGTTTGACTGGTTGCGTTTTAAAAAGACGCAAAAAATAATGTTTTGATCATGGAGGTTCAGAAAAGCATCGTGGCCGTCCGGCAACAGGACGTTCTCAAGAGTCTCTGGAGATAGAGAAGCTTAACCTATCGAAATGGTATGGTTCTAGGAGTAGTGTGTGGCATACGAAAAGAATACACGAGCCTTGGAAAGTGGTTAAAGGCATGAGTTCGTTCAACTTTGATTTGATTTTTGACTCCGACCTGTAGTTATACCGCAACAGGCCGCGCGATCTTTACCGATCTGGTACACTTGAAATGTTCCTTGTATCTTTGCTTTACGAACGTATATGTTTAAGAATTGATGTTTTTAAAATAAATTATTGCCTGAATATTCTGTTTATAATCTAGTTTCTTTATGTGTGCTACTCGATAACATTTGTTTTGCGGAACATTGACCCGATGCAACGCGAATGAATTTGTTCATTTGCTGATAAGCAATTGAAATTTATGCTCAGTTAAGGATAATCTTTATACTCATACGTTGTGTGTTTTTGTCACCGGCCAGGCGCTATTTGTAGGTATTTCTGGGTTTATATAAGGCGAACTGAGAGAACAGTAATAAGATGTTTGTTTACAAATTTTGTTTGCCGATCGGTGACTGTTTTGTTAGCGTGGGTACGACCTCGTAAAAATACACGTTGGTAAATGTTTGTTTCAAAGCAAGACAGGGCTGTAAATCTTATTCTTATCGGCTGCAACATATATCTGAGGAGTAGCAAAGAATAAACTTGAATTATGGGGATAAATAAATTCAAACCAAATGCCCGGAAATACTCTCGCGTCGCGAACAATTAATTTGAATTTTGTAAATCTACTTGCGTGCATCTAACTCGCTTCCGATTGGTTGAAAAACAATCAGCTACTGTCAGAACTCACACATGCGCATTATCGTGAACCAGTCCCTTTAAGAGTAAATCAATCCTGACCTAAGTGATACAATACGATTTCGTTTATGGCCACGTGGAGAACTTGTTTTCGAAACCTAGCCGCAGCTTAAGGAAGTTCCCTATCAAACCCAAAGCCTCTGGACGGGTACCATTGCAAAATCTATAACGTCAGCGGAAAACAGTGCACTGACGGTTTAAAAGACACTGCGAATTTTGACAACTTTCACTTTCATAAACTTGTACACCTAGAAGTATTTCTTTGTGGCATTTATGAAAAATCTCTAAATGACTCGTCCCTCGGGAAACTACTCACAGGGTTTGGAAGGGTATTCCCTAGATCCAGGATTTGACATAAATACAGTGCGGGATGCGGGAAACGTTAAAGGGATACGAGATTTGACTGAAATATAGTGCGGGATGCGGGAAACGTTAACAGGATAAGAGATTTGACTAAAATACAGTGCAGGATTCGGGAAACGTTAACGGGATACGAGATTTGACTGAAATACAGAGCGGGATGCGGGAAACGTTAAAGAGATACGAGATTTGATCGAAATAAAGTGCGGGATGCGGGAAACGTTAACGGGATAAAGGGTTTGAGTGCTAACCTGCCAAAATCTGGGCACTGATGTGGGACTGGGAAAGGAAACGATATTCGGGATAGCAATGAAGGAAGCTCGGGATGCGGGATTCTCGTGAAAAAGGAGCGGGAATGCAGGATCAGAATCTCCCTTTCCAGACCCTCATCTTACTTTCACTGGTTTCCCTTAATTCCGCTGAGATTATCGAAGCCAGCCAGTAATTACCAGTAATTTATCGATTGCATTCCTGTCGTACTAACATCAAGAAATTCACAATTTTTTTACCAAGGATCAAAAATCTGGACTTGCCTCCCTGTGTCTATTGCAAACTTGTCAAGAGCACAAAGTACTAGAGGTTTTATTAAAAGTTACTGAATTAGCCTAGCCGCACTCCTTTAATTTGCAGCCCTTATTTCTCAACACATTGTGATGTCGAGGTGACGTGGCCTCTGCTATAAGCCTGGTGGTTTCTTGAGGTCACCTCGCCAAACAACATGCTGCATTCTGTACTTTTCATTTTCATATCAAGGTTAATAAATAAATGATGATGATGATAATGAAGAAGAAGATGAAGATTGTTAAAAACAAACAAACAAACAAACAAAGAAGGAAACAAGTATTTGTTTCTCCCTGGACCAATCATAAAACAAGCGTTGACTGTAGCTTAAAAAATTATTAATAGGGATTGTGTTTAGAAAGGCTTAAACAATGATCACTGTGGAATTAGCTTACTCCAGAGAGCATTTACAGGTAACAAGCTGTTGTTTGTATTTTAGCCAGACATCGAAAGGCATTAAGGGCTATAAGAGCAGGAATGGCTGATTGGACCAACAAAACGTGCATACGCTTTAAGCGAAGGGTGAATGAGTCATCCTACGTGTTATTCAAAAATGGAAATGGGTAAGAACTGCTGAGATTTTTTCTAACTTTATAAAATTTTATTAATCAGGAGAAACTTTTTGGCAAAGTGGAACACAAATGAACCTACTTTAACCGCCTGAATTTAAACTTGAAATTTGCAATCAAAAACGTTTTCTCTGGCAATTTCGCAAATTATCATGCATTGAGTCATCGTGAGTGTCTGATCGAGTCTCGAATCATTTTCTCTCTCCTCCGCAGAGGCCTCTTTGTGTTGTGGGAAGGCTGGGGAGAAAGAAAAAGAGAGCGCGCGGGGCACTATGGGAAGGGGGAAGAGAGAAGAGAGGCCCGCCGTTTCCCTCTTCCCATCGTCCCCCGCACGCTTTCTATTTTTTCGATTATTTTATTTTGATGGGGATACCCAGCGGGAGCCTCTGCGGAAGAGAGAGGATCATTTTTTATATTGGAGAAATAACTTCTTTTATGTACTTTTACACCTCTTGCCACCCAGTTTAAAAGCCACGTGAAGCATAAACAAGGAAATGATCTGATAATTAGCTATAGCATGCGGTTCGCGAGAATTTCACAAAGTCTTTTGAAATCGGCGCGGTTTTCATCTGAACTTCAACCGATAAAACTAGGAACATTAAACACCGAAGACTTTTTTCGAACTAACGTATAATGCGTTGGGATATCGGATAAAACACTCTTTTGAGTGATTCGTCATAGTATTTGGAATAACTCTCAGAGAAATTCCCTTAAGAAGCTAAAATTTGTTAAAAGGGGTTGATTTGGATGCTAAACCGCAACCCACGCCCCTCCCCCCACGGTCTAATCTCTTGTTGTTTCTTGATTATGAGTGAAAAACGATACGTGCTTCTATATATATTTAGTAAAATCCAACTAGTGGTCTTTTAATTATCAATGCTGCGTTCTGATTGATTGAGCTACTACTAGGCTATATGTTATAGCCCACTAGTAGCGAAAAGTGCCGGCTTTGAAAATCTAAATAATGGCGGCTGAATTGCGTTTTGCTAGCTAAAAATGTTTCGTCTCGATATTTTTAACCAACCAGTGGGATTTTACTAACACAATTAGTTCTCTCGCCCCCATGGGAACTGAGTCATTAGCCCATTCGGCCTTCGGCCTTATGGGCTTTTGACTCAGAGCCCACTCGCGCTCGAGGAATAATTGTTAAATATATACTTAGGTGCTCCTCGCAACTTGGAAGAACTGGAGGGCAACAAAACATCACTCTAGCAAAAGGATGCTGGATCAAGGGCATTGTGGCTCACGAAATTGGTAAATCGACGCATCAATTTTTATCATCAACTTCATGAGCAAAAGTAATTCTAAAAACATGTTTGCAAAAAAGATAACTAATAAAAATACTAATAAATACTTTTTCAGGACATGCGCTCGGTTTCTTCCACGAACAGTCTCGTCCTGACAGAGATAACTTTGTCGAGATATTGCTTAAGAACGTACTACCGGGTAAGTACGCAAATTCCATATTATCATTTTGCCATCTTTCTCCCAACACTGGAGTGCCAACATTTTGCAAATAGGCCATTTGCACGATATGAAGTCTATCTAAGACCAGAATTCATTTCGTCTCTTTCTTTTATAGTTTTTAAAATTTGGTATTCCCAGTGATGTTTGAGTAACAAAAGCCCTAATTTGAACAAGGAAACGAACCCCTGAGGGATTCTGGTAGTAATAGTAAAATGACGCAAATTGTGCAAATGGCCTATGAGATACATTTATCCTCATGTGTCCGGCACATTTCTCTCTGAATACATAGCGACTTTCTGCTATTCACTACAGGGAATCGTCAAACGTTGGGTCATTGATATCGACGTATCCGAGTGTAATGGACGTGTAGAAGATATTGCCGTAAATGATCGATTAAGCGCCGCATCTTTACCGAAAATAAGTTAATATGCTTGACTCTCGAATAAGCGCCCCGGCGCTAATTTGGGAATTTACAAATTAACGACCCACCTTTTGTTACGGCGCTTGATATAAAGGGATATCAAAACCATATCGCTATATGAGACCTCGACCAACTCGTGAGTTCTAAAGTTTTAATGTAAGCTCTTGAAACCGGGTTCATACAACAGTTCGAGGTGTACATATTTTATATAATTTATATTGTGCATACCTATAGTACGCGCCTCACGTAATTTTCTCGATACTCCTCTCGATGTTTTACCCGTAGTTGAAATAAGCACCGCACCTATAACAGGGAAAATGAAATAAGCGCCGCGGCGCTTAATCGATCATTTACGGTAATATTCCAGATATTAGTTTAATTGACGCCGGTCTCCCATCCCTTTCTCTTACCTTCTTTCAGGTACAGAGGTCAATTTTCGAAAATACGGCACTGGTCTTTATATTGACTCTCTTGGAAGCAAGTACGATTACGGAAGCGTGATGCACTACGGAGAGAAGTATTTTAGTAAAAACGGTCTGCCCACGATACGAGTTAAACAACCCGGAGTAAGTTGCTATCAAAAATATTGAGCTCCTTGTAGCCAGTGTGAAGAAAGTAAATGTTAAAAAGGGATGATGGGGATTTTGATAATTATAATAAGGAGAAGAAGAAGACTACATGTACTGTGGGATATGAACATCCCATGTGACCATGCAATTGAAGCTTGAAGACCGGACATTATGGGTGTAAACCATGCAACAGGGACATGAGAACTGTACAGGTGATACCGATTGTGTGGATAATAGGGACGTGCGACCACGAACTTGGAGAAGTGACTGGAAAAGTTGGACAGGCGAATTAGCATTTCAGTCTTTCTCCACAAAAACTACGCTATTAGGAACAGTAAGGATTTTAACGAAAGTTTTAGAGTTATAGAGTAAGAAGGTGTACTCTAAGAGACCTTTGTTCATGGGTTATGACTCGCTTCCTTAGCAAGTAAATCGGTATGCGATCAGCCATTGCTGCTCCAGTAGGCTCTAAGCTCGAACATGGTCCCCTGGTTTAAAACCCAAATATCTGACTGACCATTATTCTCTTTTAGGCTAAAATTGGCCAAAGAATTGGTCTAAGTGCTACAGATGCGATTCAAGCAAACAAGTTATATCAATCTTGCACCGGTAAATAGAATCTAATTTTTCAGTCGGTTTGTTGCCTATAATGCCTCCAAATATTTTTTAATTGCTCTTTACAGAGCAAACAAATTTTCACAGGCTGAAAAAGGAATAGAAATAAAGAAGCACTTATAAAACACGCCAAATGCCTTAGAGAAGAAATATTGTCTTCAAGAGGTCGCCAGTGGTGTCTGAGTCAAATATTCCACGATAGTAAAAATGATATTTTGGACTGTTAAACTTTAAAACCAGTCAACTAAGCAGTTTTTCACAATTACTTTAGAGTACAAGACCTGTGAACTGACCCGCCCTGAGTAATAAAATAATAGCAGTTTAATAGATTATTGTGAGTCGTTTCATAGCATCATTTTAATTCATTCTCAACGTTAGCGTTTATCAATTTACGACGAAAAGATATCAAATGATTCTGTCAAAGGGAAAACAAGCCTTGGCATGATTGGTTTTTGGTCAATTTTTAACAAAGCAGGAGTTTAACTTGAGAACGTTGGTCCAGATTGTAATTCGTTTCCATCCTGTTTCCATTTTTTTGTTCATTTTCTCGTTCCTAATTTCCTATTTCTCATTTCTCGTTTTGATGCACCCAAACAGATGTAATAAATTCCGACTCAGCCAGAAATGCTTATCCGATCGTTGATAAATGTTGAAGTAACATTAACTGCTGACAGTTTTTTTAATTGTATTGCATTTTTTATTCTTTCGTCAAGTTTAATACGTGTTTTATCTTTTTCAGGAGTTGTGTGTCGGGATCGTTGGTCTCTCTGCAGACGTTACTCACGATTCTGTCGCAGCATATCCCGGCTCAGACGTTTGTGTGAAAAGACCTGCAAAGTCTGCTAAAACTGAAACACCTTAGCCAAGGTCCATGGGTCGGACCAACAGAAATGATGCAGTGTGAAGAAAATCCAAGGATTTTAATTTTTTTTTCTTCCTTGTCTCACCAAATCATTGTTCCTCTGCTCTGAAGGAGTCATTTTACAACTTACAATATTCTGAATGTAAGGAAAGCCTATATAATAATAAAATCATTGAAGTTGGTAAAATAAAAAAAACAACAGACAGTAGAGAAATGTTGTATTTATTCTAACCAACCCAATCTAATGGCTATGCTATATATATTCACCCCTTGATTATTCTACAAGAGCCGACCGTTTGCATAAAGAAGCTATCTGGCGAAGTCTATGTTACAAAACGGCTGCTAGTGTTACGGCAAATATTGTAAATGGACAGCAGTAATTTATGAATACCAGGCATTTTGACTTGATTAGTGTATAAGACATTTTGAAGATCACGAAAAGGAACAAATAAACTGATTGATAAGAGTACCTGAACGGCCGTCCCCTTTAACCGGCAACAAAAAATTGGCAAGTGCACGTACGACACGGATTGAAAATGTAGTTGAATGCACACCGATGGCCCTTTAAATTAATTTCAATGGAACCTTAAAAATGCGAGCTCTTTTTCATACTTGTCTCTTATTGGCGACGATATTGTGGAGCTTCTATATCCGGTTCCAGTATTCTCTTTGTTGTTGAAGATCGAGTGCTAGTACGGTTACTACATAACTGAAAAACGACGTTATACAAGTATATGTGCATACACTCTTCTTTTTATATAAGAATGTTGTTTTTCCGGCCCACTGAATATCCTTATTTTTCTGTCGATTTCAGGCTGTCAGTGAAAATATTCTGGAATTATTCTTAAGTTATAGCTTATGACACTTCCACTTTAGAATATGTATTGGGGTTTCAGTTGCTAGTGATCTAATCTGTGTCCAGATATCTGTACTTTGCCGTATAGTGAAAGGAATAATTTTATACGTTAATTTAAAAAAATAAAATTGTAATATATTTAGAGATTTTCAACACACAAAATTTAGTCCTGGGGGAGTTTTCAAATTCTCCGCCTCAGGTTTATCACTCTTAAAATATTCTTAAAATTTCGACAATTTCAGCCCCGATATTCTTATAAAATATATTCTCATTACAAAAAAAGTGCAAACGAAGCTTGACTGTAGTGAGTACTAGAAAAAAATGAAAAGTTATAAACTAAACGCGATAACGATACTATTCAAACATAAATAATTAGAGTTGGCTTTTTAAATCATGCCAGGATATACATTGAACAATTAGTTGGTTAGTATTCCAACAACAAAAAAGCCGTAACGTGTTTAATCGACTTAAAGTAACGAGGCACAGTCGAATAACTAAATGCTCTCTCAAACAGCCGAAACGGCGAAAGTCGGCGAGTTTCTTGATCTGCAACATAACGTTTATTCAATAATCCTGCGGTTTTTGTTCACCCTGACTGATTTCCGGAAGCTTATAACTAAGCAGTTAAAGATAAATTGCTTTTGAAGTGTCTTTATAGATTCTTTCTAATTTTGTTATTATGCTACTTAAGTTAAGATCCTCAGTTTTTAAAATTTTTTGGGGCCAGTTTTTTTTTTTTTTTTTATATGCTCCAAGTGCGTGGCGAACTTAAAAATTAGTAATGTTTTGTAGGTCTTCATTTGGAGAGGGGGGAGGGGGTACTCCTTATAATGGCCTATAAGAGGCGACTCCGCACGAGAGGGGCATACTTTTTTAAGGCTTCAAATATATGCAAAGTTAGGCCGGGACTTTCACAAAGTTGAAGTATATGAAAGGAGAGGGAATCCTGTCAGTTTGTAAAAAGGCCCATAGCAGATGCATTTTATGGCCGTGAAAAAGTCAAGAAAACGTTCTGGCTTGAGGTTTATTTATATCTGTTAAAGAGAGTGCAATTAACAACATTCAAAAGGGATGCAATATTCTAAACTAGGTGTGTGTAAAGGGGCACTACTTGTCAATAGAAGGTATAAACGAAAGGGGTACCTTTTCTACCAAAAATGATTTATAAAAGGGAAAGGGGTTGGACCTTAGGACGGAGGCTCCCTGTAGAAAACATTGTTGAGTATACCCTCCGGAGGGCATGGTCTCGTATTGAAGAGATGACCTTGGCGATTTTTTCAGAACGTTAGCGAAACGGCCTGTCTTAAAACACTCTGATCGTAAGAACGCCTAGTTTTGAAAAACATTGTCCTTTGCTAATGAAGTCAAGGAGCAGCACTACCGCAAAACCTCAAAAAGTTGTGGTTTGAAGACTGGGAGTAGAGGTTAATCTTCCAACTAAACTATCGTAACGTTTTTGCCGTCTTTAATCTCATAACCAGTCGCCGGCTAGGGTGGCGGCATGTTAAATATCAAAGACAGAAAGCATCAAAATTCATTCTAAATCAATATTGTCAATTCTATTTCTTGCATATATAACTGGGCAAATTGCAGTTTTCTGTTAGGTTTCGAAGCTACCACTTAAAGTACAGATAGTGAATCCGTGAAACGTAAAGTGTAGAGAACTTAGCATGCATTGGTTTGTCATTCTTTTGCTGGTTAGAGCCGTGTTCAGCTATTCACATAGTCCTGATGGTAAGTGTTCATACAATCTTCCTTACAGTAGAAAGAAATAAACGCAAATTAAACCAAGGTGTGTTAAAGGTATAACGGGTGCTATCGCCCGTGTCGAATAGCCTGTATAGTACTAAATATTAAAGATAAAATATTCCACAGAGTAAAGCGATGCATATTAATTGAAAAAAAAAATAGAAGGATAATAAATAGTTAAGTTTCTTTAACTAGTTTTCGTGACAGAGAATGGAGAAATAGATAATAATTGGCTTTCGATTCCACTGGGTTTTTCAGTCTTTCTTGTACAAGAGGAAGCAAGTTTAGAAAGGGGGTCTCGACGCACACTTAAAAAGATGTGACGGAGTCTTAACTAATTTAAAAATGATTTAACAGACTATTAAACTTAACTGTATGATAAATTTTTATTAATTGAAATTAAATAGCTCCACTTTGCTGATAATGAGGTAAAGATTTTACCTCCAAGTTTTTATAAGCTCTGAGTGATTCTGATTCATTGCAGTTCTCTCATCAAGAGCTTTTACCAAACAAGGGGTAAAGAAGGTTTTCAAATAGTCCTCTTTGTAGAAATCTCATAGATCAGAGCAACACGGCAATTTGAAATGAGTGAGACAGCTTTGTTGTTGTTATTGAACTCATGATCATTTAGCATCTTCTCTTGTTAATATAGCTCCTTCTCTGGTTAATATAGACTTAAGTGTTAAGTCAATTCTACGATTAATTGTTTATTTTGATAAATTGGAAGCAATTGTCTAGGTTTAAAGCACCACTAAATAGTAGAATTTGTTTGTTTATGAATATTTTTTAAAACCAGTTTATTTTAAGGGGTATTATAGCCCCATAAATTTACTCAACTAAATACAGCTCATCTCAAGATTCATCTATCTGAAAGTTTTTCAGCTCTAAATATCATCAGCCATAGTGATTAATCATTATAGGGGCAAATCTGCCAAGTAACTTTCGATATGATTTTAAGGATGAAAGTTTATTTGAAAAGCATTGAAGGCATAAGCAGAATTCATATTTAATTATACGTCGTGACAAACATTTTACATGAAGTTACAGCTTAAAGCTTAGTTAAAATTTATGTAAAATATTGAGATATTGGCTAGGTTCAAGAAATTAACACGCAAAAAAGGGCGAAATCAAAACATGAGCTAATATTGTGTCAATCTTAACCTCCAAAAAACAAGTTTTTGTCCTCAAGAAAGAATGTATCGATTACTAGCCAGCTTCCAAGGGATAAAAAATGGACCGTGAAAAGGAGGTACACACCTAACGGTTATAACTGTAAATTTTAAAATTAACCCAATTTACGTTGAACACACCAAAACCGTTTTATGCTGTTGATTTGCAAATGCCACCAGCCTGTATAGAATGAAGCACTTAATATATGATAGCTATGGCCAGTATCTGACTAGGGGAGGGGAAAACTGTGTATTCCTGTAGCTGAATCATTTATAAAATGCCTTAAGATAAAACAAATTGTACCTTAAGAGTAAACTGCTGTTTCCCTACACTTAACACGTCAAGAGGGTGGCTCGCTTCCCGAAAACTTATTTTATTTTGTTATATTTTATTTTTGATGGAAAAGTTGTATCCTCACTATTTCAAGTCGCCGACCGTTAAGGAAATATATTTTGGTTTTAATTCCTTTCTTTTCAGCGTAATTCGAGGGTCTGGGTACTAGGAAAGGGTCGACCGGAAATTTTTTATTTGAAGCCCAGTTTTCACCCAAAATGCTTTGCGCGCTCGTGTTTTTGTTTATAAACGCTTCTAGACTTTTTGTAGACTGAACAACGCCCGTTCGATATAGTTCGAGTCGTTGACGGTATGGCCATAAACCGCAGTCAAACGAGGTAAAATGCAAAACCCATAAGCAAAGTATTCTAAATATACTTTACTGTTCAAAACTGAGGGTCGCCCCTGCAACACGTTGTTTATTTAATGAGCTTTTTGAATGAGTACTATACGAAGTTGAGTCTAAGTGTTGGAAAACTAAGGGCCTGTTTACATGAAGGTGGGTGACCCCAGGTAGGTGAGATAACCTGCTTAGGTGGGGTAACCCGCCTGTCCGTACAATCTCTCATTTAGGTAGGGTGTTCCGCAACTTGTTACCTAATCTGTCTCGGGTCCCCTACCTCCACGTAAACAGGCCCTAAAACTAGTATTAATGCCGGAGGCATTAAATTTGCTCACAGAATTTTTCTCGGGCGCGTAGAGTTTTCAGTGAAAATAAAAAAGCTCATTGTTTGAAGAACAATGCAAAGATCGTTAAAGACTAATTCTTTTATACATCTTTGTCCATGTTTTCACTTGTGGTGAATGAAACCCCAAGAAACAAACAAGCAGGGGCACCCAACGAGGATATAGTTCAAAACCACTTAACATAGCATTGTTGAACGTATTTTAATATTTAAACAGTAGATATAGGCATATTTTTATCCCCTAAAAACTTTTCATCTGTTCGGATTTCCTAGCTGAAAGTCTAGTGAACCGAAAATTATAGGGATCAAAACTTACCTTTTCGAAAATTTCAGCCGGGAAAAGGCTCCCGAAAATTCTAGGTAACCTTTTTAGGGTAAATATCCGTTGAAAATGGGTAATTATACCATTTTGTAGATGTTCGAAAATCCTAGGAGAGGCAGGCAAGCAAGAAATTTTACAACAAATGTTCCGAAAATTCTAGTTCTCAAATCGTCTTCCGAACAGATATTTTCCCGAAAATTGCCGTTGGGTGCCGCTGAACAAGCAAACAAACCAAGACGTTTGATCACGGTGGCGTATAAACACCACCTCGGCTTTCGTTTCTTGTGCGATTACTTTTTACCTCATGGTAATCCTGTCTTGCTTTCAGCTTAACAACAAGGATGAGCC